CTGGCAGGGCCCGCCGCTCAACCACCACCAAAACATGAAAAAACAAAACGGTTGGTGTAGGCGATTTGGCCTCGGCTTGGCTCCCGGTCGCCTCCTCTCGGTCATCCCGCGGCTCCCTTGCATGCTTACGATTGGAACGGTGATTTTTACATCTAAAAAATTGATTAGTGCAAAATAGAAATAGATTGAAAGGAAAATAGGGGAAGAAAAGATGAAAAGGACGAACCGTTACCTCGGTTGCCTCGGTCTCTGCTATCACACAGCGTCTCAGCCGTTCCCTTTTCCTCCTTCCTTTCAGTTCTGCTTCCACACTCTCCCTTCTCCGCCCCTCTCTTCTTTTCTTCCTCCCTCACGGCGGCCGTTCTTTGGCTCCCCTTCTCTTTCCTGCTCGACCCTTCCTCTTTTTTCCGCTCGGCCCCTCCTCTCTTTTCTTCTCCTTCCTCCTTTTTCTCCCTTTTCCCTTCCTCTTTCTAGCCTCCATCTTCATTCCCGAATGGCGAAATGGATTCCCGTTTTTAGAAGAAGATTTTTCAGTTTTTCGAACGGCGAATCGGAACTCAAAATGGTGGATCGGAATTTCATGCTCAGGGAAAACCCTTCGGCTTCCTACATGGGTTGGCTTTTCCCATTCCCGAGGAAACCTCCTCGGTTCCCGCACAGGTGGGTGGCCTGGCCAAACCCGCGCGACCAGCCTGACACTAGCCTCGCCCCACCACCGCTCAACCACCACCAAAACACGAAAATAGAACGGTTTTATCTTTCAGCATGGGCGATTTAGCCTCAGCTTGGCTCCCAAATTGCCTCCTCTTGTTCACCCTGCGGCTCCCTTGCGTGCTTGCGATTGGAATGATGATTTTTACGTCTAAAAAATCGGTTAGTGCAAAATAGAAATAGATTGAAAGGAAAATAGGGGAAGAAAAGACAAAAAGGACGAATCTTTACCTCGTTTGCCTTGGTCTCCGCTGTCACACGGCGTGTCAGCCATTCCCTCTTCCTCCTCCTTCCTTTTGGTTTGGCTTCCACTTCTCCTACCTCCGCCCCTCTCTTCTTTTCTTCTTCCCTTGCGGCGGCCGCCCTTTGTCTCCCCTTCTCTTTCCCGCTCGGCCCCTCCTCTCTTTTCTTCTCCTTCCTCCTTTTTCTCTCCTTTCCCTTACTCTTTCCGGCCTCCTTCTTCCTTCCCTCTCTTTTTTTTTTTCTCTCGGCTCCCCCCCCCCTCTCAACAGATCTCCTCTCTTCCCTCTCACCCGGTTGACTCTCTCCTTTTTCCTCTCGTTTTCGGCTTCTCCTCTCAAAATGAAGAAAAACCCTAATCTCTTTTCTTATATACCCATCTCCTTGGCTGTTGGATCTCACCAGCTTGATCTGGGCCATCCGTTCTCTTTTAAAATCTCCTCCATCCGATCTTCTCAAGGGGTTTGATTTAGGCCTTCCATTATCTTGATTTCCTTTGCCTCCTTCCACTTCCACTTATTTATGTTTTTACTCCATTTTTTCTTACTAATTTTCATTTAAGTTTCTAAATTAGTTAGAAGTTCCAATTTTTGAAAATTTCCTTTCATCTAAATCCAAACTCCCAAATTTTATTTATTTATATATTTTTTTTCTTTTAAGTGGATATCACATGCATTATCTCTGATGTGTTTCATCTTTCCCAGTTGGAAGAAGCTTGAAAAGGAAAAGGATATTGAGCTTTACAAGGCTGAAGTTTCAATTATTAGATGTTACAAATGAAAATCTTTCGAAGGTTTATTTGCAATTCCCAATTGTATGTTTCAGTTTCTTGAATAATGAATGTTTTAAGTCATTTAGAAAGTAAATAGTTAATTTTTTTAATAAAAAAACTTCATATGATAGTTTTATGTATTAAAAATAATACAGCTGTACATTTTAAGTCATTTTGACATAATGAAACGCTAATTAGTTATCTTTTTTAACAAACACATAATAACTTGTAATCTCGTATTAGCTGAAATGGTTCGGTGGTTCATTTGTAAATAAGCTTGTATAGCTTATAAGTTACTGAGAAAATTTATATACTCTTCAACTTGAAAGTTCTGATGTTTTAAGCTAGGCAAAACACCCTCTAAATCTTAGCTCTCTCAACAAGACTGTAATCTAAAATAAACTGCTGCTACCTATGAGTATACGTATCTATTCATCGAGGATCTCTGTTTGTATGTCATTTTTGTAGATGAGTACTGACAGTATACTTATAATTAGTTGAGGGACATGCTTCTTTTTTCTTTCTTCTTGTTTCTTTTTCATTTTCTGTTTAAATTTTCATCTGGTATAGGTAGGTGTCTGTGAATGAATCATACTACACTTTTTTTATTTTGTTTTTAAAAATCATCTGCTATAATAACATTACATTGTTGCCTACAGTTATTTTGGTTCTATCCACTGTACATATTCAGCTTCATCCTAAGCAATCTCTGGTACTGTTTGCTCTTTTCGGTTCTTTGTATTATTATTTTTTATAGTATTTGCTTTTGGCCTATGCATAACTAGAAGTTTTGAGATAAAAAAGAATGTATTATGTATAAACACCAAAGGGGTGTTGCCCCTGTTCAAAATATTTATACTAAGTTTAAACATCAAAAACATTCCCAAAATCATTCCACTCATGTAAATCATGTCCCAGAATAAGAGACCCAAATTTATTTTTGCAACTTTTGACTTTCTACAAATCCCGCCCCATGCCCGTTACTAGAAGTGAGCAGTATCTTCAATAGAAAGGCTATAATGATGCACATCCCACTGGAGTTGGAGTTAACATTACTTTGTTCCATCTTTTGGTTAACTGTTAGAGTTCTGGTGGGGTTTTTGGTTACAAATAAATTCTGTCACGATGAACCAAGGTTCTGCTTGAGTATAAAAATTTACACAAAAGTGTCGAAACATCTGAGGCCCCTGGATCATTGCTGATGCAGAACAAGAAAGTCTTAATTTGGAATGAATTTTAAAGAATTTCTTTTGTAACTATTATTAGTATTTAGTATCTCTTTAATTTATTTATCTTATTTGGGTGGATTTTAAGTTTAATAGAAACTCTTGATTTTCTCTTTTCTTGTTTTAATATTTGCCTTACTAGTTGTACCTAATGTTAGTGTAAAAATTATTAGCCATCAAACTATTAGATAGTTAGGTGTGAATTAGAACTTTTTTAGTTAGAGTTTTATTTCTTGTTGTCTTACTGTGTTCATTGTTATGGTTCTGTCTAATATCCTATTCACAGTCTAATTCTCGTAATATTTCGTCATCTTGATCTCAAATTTCCTCTAGTCCACCCCTATTCTCCTAGTTAACTTTCATCTTTTTTCTAGATTATTTCGGACAACTTAGTTTCAAGACTACTTTTCTTAGGTTAGCTGGTACCAAAGCATAAATTCTTATCCCCACCTTCTTAGCTAAATTGACACATTCTCAAAAGAAAAGAGAAAACAAACAATTCCCACATATTGCCATGAAGAAATATTTTCTTGAAAAAGGGTATTCACTTCCCAAAGAAAAAAACATTGGGAAAAAAATCTCTAAGCCCCCAGTACACTTAATCATTTAGTAGTCTCTTCCACACTTGAGCCACCACCGTGACATCTACTAGAATAGAGATTGCCACTCACCCTTTTTGCTTAACTTCCGTGACTAAACATCATTGGAAATCTCTAGAATGCCAAAATAGTTTTATGCACTGTCAACCCTGTATATCCACCAACTTCTGACACTTTCAATGAGAAATGACAATTGATCCATGGCCCTAGGTCACCTAGATTGGCGTGTGTGAGTAACGTGCACCGGTTTCTACGAGTGAAACTAAGCAAAGGTGACAATTTAATTGATTTGTATATGGATGGGCATCCCTTGGTGCTGATATCAATATATACTCTACACTTGTTATTTTTTTTAAAAATAAACTATTACTGGGAAAGAACAGGTAACCTACCTCCATCCAAAGAAGGCAAAAATAACTTTTAAAAGTGCTCATGTGTCTTGGTCAAAATTAACTCCAAGAAAGATAACTTTTTTCAAAGAGGTATAAACAGTAAAGAGTGCTCCCTCAAAATTCTATTGTTTCTCTCAAGGCAATTGCCCATAACCAAGCAAAGGTGCACTATGCTAAAGGGCTTTAGCATTTTTCTTTATTTTCAAATCTAAAAGAATGGAAGAAGAAAGGCCTCAACTGTGATAGGAGAAATCAAAGGAACACTAGAAGTATCAACCAACCAACACTAGATTTCCATGCCACATCACAATCCAAAAGCAAGTGAATATGACTCTTTGTGGCTTTAAAGCACATCACATAAGCCCAGGAAATAAAGCACGATTCCATCAGCAACTTGGACCATTGTTCGTATTCATTTTTGCCAAAAACGTAGTCCAAGCAAAAAAAACTTTACCTTTGAGTGAGTAGGAACCTTCAGAAAGCTTTTTATCTTAGATATTATTACAAGAAGCAGGGTTTTGGCTCAAGAAAGCATAATAAGATTTGCAGGAATATATGTCTGAAGGTTCCAAAGGACTAATCTACAATTAGAGTTATTGGGAAAAGAGGAGCAAAAGAATCAAGTAGCTGAATTAAATTCATATCGTTAGCTTCTCGGTCATTAGGATTTCTAAAAGACATGCCCAAAGAATAGGACTCATTATAATGAACCAAAAAAGAGGAAATAGTGAGATGATGGGCCTACATAAATGGTAGAGTGGAGGGAAACATGCTCCTAGAAGAGTATTCCTCATCAAGGGTTTTCCTCAAAAAGGAACCAATAACCATCATCCACAGTAACCATCACAATTTGAGCAACGGAAAAAAAGAAACATTACGCTAGAAATACCTTTTTATGGGCTTCTATATGTCCTCCAAATATTTACTTCGAAATCCCATCTGTTCTATGACAAACCAAAAATGCTCTTAATTTCCTTCTTCCATAAAGAGTTAGATTCCAAAGGAGATGTTTGTAACCATTTAGTCAAAAGAGACAAATTTTATATAAAAAGATTATCAATACCAAGAACCCCGTCAGATTTGGGCAAACAACGAAACTCCCAACTAAGTCAGAGATTTGTTAGGCCCTAATCAAAGGAAATTTCTCATAAGACTTAGAATGGTTAGACCCTGATCAAACGAAATTTCACAAGCCTCTTAATTCTCCTAGCTACACCTCTAGGAATTTCAAAAAGAGAAATGGTAGTAAAGTGGAATGCTAGATAGGCAAGAGTGACAAGATCACCAAAGGAAGGAGCACACTTCTAACAATCCAAACACTCAGAAACTCTAGTCACAACAGAATCCTGTTTGATTTTACATTTATTTAGCATAGAAACTTTTGATTTTCTCTTTTGTTAGTTTAACATTTTTCTATTAGCTGTAACTAATGCCTATATAAAGGCCTATTAAACAATTAGATAGACAATGGTGAATTCAGAATATCTTTTGTTAAGGTTTTGTTTAATTTTACTTCTCTGAGTTTGTTGTTCTATTTGTGCTGTCAACTCTATATTGTTCAATATATGATTCCCTATATTTCTTCATTTTGATCTTCCGCATTCTCCTGGCTACTTATACTCTTCTCTTTCTCACATAACTTTCCTCTATTTCTAAATCATCCTATGAAAAATTAGTTTGAAAATTACTTTATTGACATTAAAAAAGACATTTGATCTTTAAACAAAATACAGGGGGTCTTCAAACGAAAGATCTCTACTTCTACCTAGAGGAGAGGAAATGACCATAGAAGCTCGTGCACCACTTTCCTTTATAAGACTCAAAAAATCATCAAAAGGATCGGAAATATCAATTTCTTTTAGAATTATTTTTGCTCACTCACATACCCTACTATGCCTAAAACTGACTAGCTGTTGAACCTCTCACTACCTAGCTAATCAAGAAAGCTGGATCCACAGCTTTCTTGCTTTGACACCAAAGAAAAATATGGCCTGGGGTTCTTTCTCTTTAATGTGGAGAAAAAATGTAGTTACATTCTTAATCTCATCATGTTGCCTATAGCAAAGATTCTTCCCCATGTAGTTTCTTAGGCAGGGAAAGCCATATGACGATATGTGTTCCTTTTCATATTTGCTTCCATGTAAATCTGTTCACCACCTGAGTAAACAAGTCAAAACATGTATATAATCGATTAAAAAGATTATTAATAATTTTCATATCCTTGATGTCACTCGTTGATTACTGATACCTTTATTTCGTTTAAACCTCAAATTCAGGTATAACGACATTGCTAAGTACGGATTTGCTGCACTGGGGGAATCAGAGGTGACTGCTATGGAACCCTCTGGAGATGATGCATTGACCTCACAAAAGAATACAAATACCAACAAGCCTGCTGGTCTTGGGGGGTACTGCTTCGATCATTCCAAAATGATTGTGCTTCAGATGAGATTTCTAAGCTTCCTTTGGTCTAAATTTTCTGCAGGATCATGGTTGGAATAGGGGAGCAGGTGTATTCAGTCTTACTTTTGAGCTTTTTTTTCCTAGAGGTGAGAGACAGTTTTCTGTATTAAAATTTCAGATTATTGTTGCTTTCACATGATAAGTATGTACAAATAAGGTTATCATGATATGTGTCTATACAGTCTTCAATTCTTACTAGACACTTTATTTGCTAACGAATCCTTATAATATCTTTTCTTAGGGATAAGACCATGATTTCTTTACAGAAATTTCTTTATCAACTTTCCAGTGGAATTGGGTTGCTATGATGTATCAATAGTGTATTTATTATGTTCCTTTTGCAACCTTTTTTTTTGGTTTTGTTTGGGGGGGGGGGGTTGCTTGTCCTCCTTTGCGTTTTTTTCCCCTCCCTGCTAATGATATTTCATCTTTTATCAAATTTTTTTGAAGCACCTTCTCTGATACTAGATTTGACTGCCTTTTGTGTATAACAATCAGGTGTATGCTACAGGATTTTTACCATATATTGGGAAGACAATTAATTTCCTCCTACTTTCCTGGATGTATGCCTACTACTGTTATGAGTATGTGATGGAATGCACTAACTTTCTTAATTTTTTATTTTGAACTTTTCAATCTTGCTGTTTTCTACATAGTAACATATTAGCTCTTGAGCTTATTGGTAGGTATAAATGGAATTTCTCCGAAGTGCCTCTGGACAAAAGGCTGGACTTCTTTGAATCTAATTGGGCATTCTTTGCTGGCTTTGGTATGTAGTTGTTCACTTTGTATTTATGTGATTGGTGCTATATCTTCCACCTTATAGTTTTCTTGGTTTGGTTGATGAGTTGTTTCAGTCACTTGGCATGGCTTTTATTTAAGTGTTTGATCTTAACCTCCCAAATCTTAGGAAACTTAAGAATCATTTAGTTTTTGGTTTCATGGTTGTTTTGAAATGACCCAACTGAACATCATTTAACATCATTTACTTTTTAGTCTTGTTCTATTCCATTCAAATTGCATTCCATCCGTCTGGAAGAATTTGTTTTTATGTTGCTTGAAGGCTCATTCATTATTCGAATTCCTGTATAATAGATTACAGTTAGATGGTTAAGGTATGCAAAGCATTTATAAACTTGAATATAAATAGCAAGGGGTCAAATTTGAGACCCCAATTATTCGTGGCACAGAAAATTATGCATGTATCTGGTGTCTCAGCATATTTTTCTTGACCATATCATGAATGTTAAAGTTAAGAAGCATAATGGATGCTGACAAAACTCGAGCAAGATGTCAAATATACAGAAAGTTAATACTGAGAATGTAATGCATATTTGTGAGTAATGTACACATATTTACATTATGCCATCTAACATTGCATGAAGATGCATGTCTTCTTTTGTTCTTGAGGAACAATCAAGATGAATGTGTGATACATTCTAGTTTGCGAAGGCACATACATGGGTTTCTGGAGATGGGTCATTATCTAATGCAAAGGAACTGAGAGGCAATTCTATGTTTGAGGCCTTTCTGTTTTCTTGTTTTTCAATTTTCCTTTTTTCCTTCTAGTATGAGGATGCATTGTACTCTCTCATCTTTTTTCTTAATTTTTCCATTCTCATCCTTGTAATTATATTCTGTCTTGAGGCATTATCTAGTTTGCAAATGGATTTTTAGAAATATGCCTCTATCTAGTTTGCGAAGGAATTGGGAGATCATTGTCTGTTAAGGCTTTCTGTTCTCTTGTTTTTATATTTTCTTTTTTCTGTTCTTCTGGTAAGGTGATGCATTACCCTCTCCCATTTTTGTGATTATCCTCTATGGCTTGAGGTATCTGCCATCATCTTTTCGGGTTATTTAAGGTTTAATCATGCTATTTTTATCACCCAAAAGGTTTTTGATGATACAAAAAAAAAGCCTTTTGCTGTGACTTTAGAGGGAGAAATTAAAGATGTTCTTAGAATCATAGAGAATGGAGCCAGGAAGAGGTTTTCCTTCTACCTTTGCAGCTTGGAACGATGGAGGTGTATTAAAAGACAAGTTCCCTCATTTTTGCTACCACTAGATACAAGGACATGCTGGTGAAAGATGCATACAGGGAACGAGTCACTTTTGAGCTCTATGTGCTCTGTTTCTCTCGTTGAGAACTATGATCAACCTGGATGGACTCCTAGTTCAACAGGAAACTTCACAGTTAAATCTTTTTGCAGGTATTTAACTAAAAATGAAGCCAGAAAAGAAAAATTTCCCATTTAGACTATGAAAGGTGAATGTGCTGCCAATGGTAGCTTTTTTCGCTTGGGAAGCAAGCCGTGGATGCATTCTAATCATCAATAAGTTGATGAGAAGGGTTAGATCATTATTAATTAGTGTTGTTTTTGTAAGAGAGTGGAAGAGAGTTGTGATCACATTCTTCTAAGTTGCCCCATAGCGTATAGTTTATGAGCAATGGCTTATGGGATATTGAGATATGCCGGGTTCTAGCTGGAAATGTAAGAGATGAATTATGGGCTTGGAAGGGTATTATTGGTCGGAGAAAAACATTTAAGGCTCCTTCATTTGGCAATATTTTGGGTTGTTTGGAAAGAAAGGAACAGGGGAACATTTGACGGGATGGAGGAGGGCATGGATAGGATTAGAGCGAGATGGTTTCAAACCTTAAGTTTTTTTGTAATGAGTCATTCTATTCTAACTATGGAGGATCTTGGTGATTTAATTGGCATATTAATTGAATTATAAATACTTTTGTACGTGGGTTGCTATACCCTCTTGGTGCATATAATGAATGAATTTATACCTTTTATTTCAAAGAAAACAAAGACTCTTTGCGATACTTGCCTTTTCTTTTCTTATAAAAAAAACAATAATAATAAGCAATTGGTTTTTTTTTTTTATTTCTGTTTGTCTCTCAACAAAGTAGCAAAAGTTAGCTTCCAATGGCTCAAGGACCTAATTTAGTGGGAGCATATGAGGACCTTATGTTAGTATGATATAATATAGAAATGTGACTGATTGCTCAAAAGTTTAGAATGATAAAAAATTACTTGAAGGCTGAAAGCATGGATGAAACAGGTCCACTGCACCTTGTCTTTAAAAGTAATCATAATAGAAATAAGGCAACCAGGTTTTGAATATTTTACCTCGAACTTTGATATCAGATGGAATAATTGAGTTGTGTGACCAATTATCTCAAAAACTTCAGCTAATTGAGATAAATCAGTTTATTATTTATATTTTAATAGTGGGTTTCCTCAATGTTTAGTATCTACAACCTCATGTAGGAACTTATTTGGAGATGGTGCATGCTTTTTCCCTATATTCTAAGGTTGGGTTTTTGCAAACATTTACAGCTTTGTCTTCTAATTTATATTCAGGAAGCCCTTGTGTCCTGGCTATTTTCTTTTTCTCACCTCTTGTGAGCTATGGGGTCATGGCAATACTGTTTCCACTGGTATGTCCTCTCTCATGTCTCACTTTCTCTCTCCCTTCCTCTGTCCACCTCAACCCAGCCTTGTAATTCCGTTGATGGTTGTAAAAATTTTCTTTTTCTTTTTCTTTTTCTTTTTATTTTCTTTCCTGCCAGTTTCCATGTGCTACCAGAATTTGGTTGTGTAAATGTTGGTAACAAATTTTCTTTTAGTTTGTTCTTACCGCAACAAGCTCAGGGGCAGAGAAAGCAATCTTTTCTCAAAGAAGGAAATGGAAAGGTGCCAGCCTTGGGAGGCTTCCGATATTTTATGTTGCAGATACTCTGTCGTAAGCTTCAAACTTTAGTAAGCTTTAAAATTTACCAGTTATGTTTGAAATGCACATATTTTGATCATCAATATAAAGATTCATACTAATTCAAAGTTGCCATGATTTCTAACCACTTCTGTCCTACATACAATAACATAGTCACTTGAAAGGGTGCTTAAGATTTAATTTTTTTCTAAAGAAAAAAAGGGGTTCAGATTGTTGATGATATCTCTGGTTTGCTTAAACATGGCCGTGCAAATTATGGGACTTGAGATTAGAGTGGAATCATGAGTACTCCTGAGCAAGTTATTATTGTTTGTTTCTCCCCATAGTTGAACAACTATAACTAATAGTACACATTTAATATTCCTGGCAAGAATAATGCATGTGTGCAGTTTGCCAATTTCAGTTTGCAGTTGATAGTAGAAACACTGATAGTTGGCTCACGCGATCTGAGAGCATAACATGGATAAAATGAATATTTTGGATATATAGATGTCAAACTCCATTATCATGTGTATATTGTCTTTAAAAAATGGTGAAAGAAAAGTGTTCAACTTGGGGACTTATTTTGCTTCCTTTGCTTGGTTTTAAGGATGTGGATGTTATCTATCTTCCTCTTGGAGCCCCAAGAACAAAGGCAAGACAATAAGGAACATTAAGGAGTTCTAACTGTACATCATCTGTCAAGTGTAAGTATGCAATATGAAAACTGTTTTTAAATCGATAAATTCTTGCTTCTGAACCTCTAGTTCCTTGGTTGTACCTGGATTTTGTGATTGTATTATCTATATTGCTGCCTAATTTGAATATTGCACAGTTGTAGTTCTTTTTGCTTTATCTGTTAATTTAAATTGTTTCCGAGATCAGGTTCGAGGCAGATGAGATTGTGTTGCCAGTTGGTATTTACATAAATTGAAAGCATTATGTCAGGAAATCCTGCGTGTAGCAAGAGTTATATGCCAGACAGATTAAGGATAAGCGTTATGTCTGAAATCCTGCATGTAGCAAGCAGTTATGAGGAAAGTTGTGAAGTTTCCTATGCAGAGACCACGCCCTCTTCTCCATTCTTTTGTATTCTAATTTCTCTTCCGCATTCTTAGGGCTGGAAAAGCATGTATAGCAACTTTATTTTAATTCTTGAATGGATCGTGTTGACTCTTAAGAAAAGTTGGATATGATAAAAAGTTTACAGTCTGTGTATAATTAATGACATTGGCCACGTGTCACTATTCTGTATGAATCCCCATTTTTTGGAAGCTCATGCAATGTAATTTTCCTCTCTCCTAGTTAAATTAAATATAATTTTATAAATGTTTATAACAAATCATTAAATGTTTTAGTTCATTTAGAAGATATGATTTACTTTTATTAGTTTTACTATTTTTACTTTCATCATTGGGTTGGATATAGTTTTGGTTCAATTAACTTATAAGATTTATATTATTATAAATGATTACTTAAAATTTAATTAATATATCTTAATTTTAAGTTTTTTTTAATGTATTTTTTATATTTACTTATATATTCAATTCTACTTTTTTTTTTTCCAAAAAAAAAAAAACAATATTTTATCAACTCTTTTTAGCTTTTTTCTTCAAAATATTTTATACATTTATAAATATAATATTATTACTACTATAATTCTTTAGTACTGTAAATTATTTTTTATTTCATAGTTAATATTTTTATTATTATTGTTTCTAATTTACAGAGTTGGAGTCTGAACAGTAGGATCCTTTCTTACATGGAAACTTGTATATAGTATATATGTGTATATGTATATACTTTCATTACCTTTCCGGATATAAGGGAAATATGAAATGTGTGTGAGTGTGTGTGTACACACTTTCGATTTAATCCAAAGGTTGGAAATTTTGGAGCATTGATAGTACCTAATATGGCCCATTATCCTGCCGCCTCCCTCTATATAATTGTAAAACGCTAGTGTTCTCCATCTTCAGCTTCTGTTCAGGGCTCTCCCTGGCCGCCCTTTGGATGGTGCTTGCTTTGGATTGTTTCTCTACATCTTAACATCATCCTTTTACGATTAAAATTATCTGCCGAACAGTAGGTCAGTTTTCATCCTCTTCTGTTAACCGGAGAGTTTTTCTTATGTGTGTTTTTTTCTCTCACATTTCTAGATCTAGAACGTAATTTATATATTCTATGTTATAAACATCAATTGTCGATCAGATCAGAGCTTGAGTTCTGGTGATCTCTGTACTTGTGTCTTTTTTAGCCATTCAATTCGCGTTTATTACTTTTTGGGAATTTATTGATGTTTGATTTGCATTTTTTGTTCTTGTCACTGTTACATGCTGAACCTCCTTCTAAATCTTTCTCCTGCCATGTTTGGCTAGCTCTGGTTTTCTCCTTCTTGAGATTAGGAGAAGCTAAATCCATGTCAGTTGATGTTTATAACTGATAAGATGATATATTTCTTTTTGGTTCCAAATAAAATAAAAAACAGAACTTGTCACTGCAAACTGATTTTTAAGCAGTGTAACCATTGATCTATTGACATGGTTCCTGATCATTCCTTAATCTAATTACTACATTTATTATTGATGTATTTTTGAAAAATCGATTTCACTTCGTCTGGATCACTTCTTATTCCATTCTTGCTTGATTTCTCACCTCTAATTTTCATTTCAGCTGAACGTACGTAATTAGAATGTGATTTATGTCTTCTATTTAACGTTGATGATTTGCTGTTAAATAATATTGATGAAAATGTGTGTTCCTATGTTTATAGATGACCTGGATGATGCTATCAAGCGTTTCCAAATTGCAAGTATAATGGCGTTGCAATTTTATAGTTGGTTAGTGACCATAATTTCTGATGGAGTTCCTCTAGATTAATATTTGATTCATGAACTATAATATCGTGTTCTTAATGGCCTTCATATTCCTTTTCAAGACTTCAGCTTCAAATGCATCAATGACAATTTTCTCTCTTTACAAATAGACTGATTTTGAGTACAGAAAATTCAGTCTTTAAGTTGGTGGGAACAATTGCCCTTGATGCAATTGAAGCTGAAGTCTTGAAAGAGAAATTGAGTTTCTGTTAATTGCTAGATAATTCATGAATTAAAATGAAGTTAACCAGGTCAATCAGAAGTTGGCTGCTGTGCTGAGTTGTGGGTATTTCAGAGAGTAGCTACACCATCTGATATGAAGTTGGTTGAGGTGGTAGCTATATATTTTTCATTGGATAAACAATTATTCATACAAACTGGTGTCTGATTTATTTATATATTTTATTTAATGAATGTCACCAGGCTGTTATTTGACAAAGTAATGGACTATTATGACAAATGATATGTAACACTCTGCATGTCTGTATCTAGCCGGAGGTAGATGCAACTCTATAATGAAATAAGGATTTTTCTGTAATATTTTTCTTGATTTAGCTATATCAAACTTTTTAGATTTGATTATATTTTGTTATAATTTTAATTATTGTAGCTGTACAAAAGTACATAGACTTTGTGGTTTAGACATATTTTGTTTTAATTTTAGTAATTATATATTAATTGTCACCCATTTGTTAGTATTGGCTTTTTAAGTTGATGATAATTATAGTTGAAATTGTTGTAAATGATAATCAGTAATAATTAAAATAGAAATATATATATATATATATATGTATATAAAACCAAATATATAGGGGATAATTACTTCCATGAGTTGGGAGTACCATAAAAATTAAAATTTCAATTTCAATTTTGAAAAGTGCTTTAAAAGATTATTAAAATCTTCAATGTCCGCGGTCGTATTGTTAACTTGTTTTGGTTCTTGGACGAACTAATAATATGAGAAGAGTCTTACTCCTCAAAAAAGATTTTTGTCATTGCAAAAATATATTAAGCACTTTATCAAAATGAATTCCCCAGCTAAAATTGATTGGTTTTTTTTTTTTTTTTAAATTAAAATATAAATTTAATTTTTATATTATTTAAATTAATTCTTATACATTAAAAAAGAATAATAATAATCTTTTATTAGTCTTATTATTAATTGTTAACGCCATATCAAAGTTAAAAGATAGACAGAAGAAGAAGGGAAACAGGATGTGTAATTTGACGATTTGAAGCAGTAGAAGATACCAAACCAACCAACTACCCTTCGGCTCTGAGAGAAGAGAGAATTTAACACCTTCATTCTCTTCTTCCTCATCTCTCTAATCTTTTCAATTTGCTTTTCTCTCTTCAAGGAAAAGAAGAGCCAGAAGCATTTCAGGGCTTGATTGAACATTCAAGACTTCTTGAAATAAAAATAAAATTGAAACAGAAATAACAAATCCTTTTCTCATCAGTCATCACTTCCTTTTTGGTACAAACAAACCAAAACAACAACACTAAACACAAACGAATTCCTGCTATACAATACAAACTCTCCTCATCAATTCCCTTTGGACTAAACTAACCAAATTACACATCAAGTAAATAATTTGGAAAAACTCAAACCCAAGCAAACTCTCAACTTTCATCCCCCTACAAAACCCGGTACTGGATTTTCTCTTTTATCAAACAATCGACTCAGCAAAAATTCAACTTACTGGAGGAACCCAACAACAAACCCACCAAAACTCTACCTGATTCATCCTTCTCCCGTACGAGAGGATGTATGTTTGTATACATATATATATAAGCCATGAATGGAGCTGTCACATACGGGAATGAATTGTATATGCTCTCTCTCTCTCTCTCTCTCTCTATATATATATATATATATATATTATGGATCATTGAGAACTATTGGGATCCTCATCTCCACTATCAGTTGCTTGAGGCTGGTGTTGTTGATGACGATGCCCCATTGGGTTATTTTGCTGATCAGAATTGATGTTCAAACCACCTCTAGAATAAGCATTTAGAGCAGCCAACATGCCCAGATTGGAATCTGAAATTCCAAGACCAAGATGCTGAGATGGTTGCTGCTGCTGCATCAACATGGAACCCAGTTGTAAAGCACTTGTTTGTCCACCTTGGTATTCCACATTGCTCGAAACGTTAAATCTCGGCATGAAATGTAGAGGTGCTTGCATTGGATTCCCACTAGCAAAAGGCCACATCTGGCTCTCCGATGGACCAGCACCGCCGCCCACCGACGAACATCCGCTGCCCCCTCCGCCCGTCACCGGCAGCATCCAAAACGTGCTGCTGTTGGGTGCCGGAGCCACGGCCCACATGGCAGTCGCAGGAAGGAGATTCGACGACCGCATCAGCCCTGAACTCGTTGTTTGTTGGTGAGGCTTAGGCAGCTGCAAACCGGATTTGAAGGACTTGATGGGAGATCCTCCGTCTCCATCGCCGCTGCCACTTTCATTGTGCGGCTGGTTATCTTCCTTAAACAAATCTTCCCGGAAGCGTTTTCTCATGTAGTTGTCACTCGAATCGCCACCACCATCATCTTCCCTACCACCGTCGCCGCCGGTTGCAAGCGCATCGCCAATCTGATCTGCAGTCAGAAGATGGTGTTGTTGCTGCTGGTGATGATGAAAACCCAACAAAGAAACCGTATGGGCAAAACCCCCTTCATCGTAGTGAGCGCGGTGGTGAGGCTGAAGAGCCGAGGAACCGTGGAAAGAATGCGGTGCAGATTTTGAGGGCGGCGCAGATAGCGTAGATCCACTGCTACGAAGAGAAACATTGAGAGTAGAAAAATTGGCGGGGATGGTACCGGTGCCGGTTGCAGCAATAATCGCCGGCTCCGCTTGTTGCAAGAGCCACTCAATTGTTTCGCCGTCGGATTTGTGACCCAATTCTCTGGTCAACTGGAAAACTCTGGCAGCACAGGTGGCCGGCATCCGGATGCGGCGGCCTCGGCCATCGACCTTGGTGTGGCGGTCCTTGGTGGAGCGTTTTACTGGGTTTGTTGCTGCGATTTGTTGTTGATTGTTGTTTGTAGAGTCAATTAGAGAAGTAGATCTGGTAGCGATGGCGAGGGAGGCATCCACGAGGTGAGGAGTGGTGGTGGTGGTGATGGATGAGATAGAAGCAGAAGTAGAGGAGGAAGAAGAGGAAGATAGTGAAGAAGGAGATGATGATGAAGAAGAAGAAGAAGAAGAAGAAGCAGAAGCGGAGGATGGAGTAGGGAGTGGTTGTGATCGGATAGAGATGGAGCCCATAAAAGAGGGACCTGGTCCTGATCTGCCATCAAAAGGAAGGAGAAGATGAGAGGAAGAAGAAGAAGAAGAGTGATGGGTTTGGTGGGGTTGTGGGGAAGAATTGTTGGTTTGATTATTATTGGTTTGCAAATCTGTGAGCTCCATTTGGTGGGCTAGCTAGCAGGGAATTTTAAAAAATATATACATACACATGTACATATAGAGGTTTCTTCTTCTCTTCACTCAATAACTCATCTTCATCTGAGAGTAAGAGAGAGAGAGAGGTAGAGAATAATAATATTTGCAGGAGGTGGGAGTCTGAACCAAAAGGGTTTTGTGGGGTTGTTGATTTCTGATTGACTCTTGTCTGTGTGGTTCCAGAGAGAGAGAGAGAGAGAGATGAAGGGAGTTTGGATTAGGGTAGGCAAACACAAGTCCACTCGTGGGGTCTCCAAAAGGGAATGTTAAAAATCCCACGCTAATCTTTTTTGCCCACTCAGTAAAAATGTTTTTTACTTTATTTTATTACTTTTTCTCTGCCAATTCTTATTTTCTTGATATGTTAAAATCATTTTACGTTAAATATATATTTTTATAATTCTCTTAATCAATATCTATATACTACATTTGCTACAAACATATAGTTTTTTAACAACCCATATGAATATGATATTTTCTCACCAAACTATGTATATATATATATATATATATATTTCATTTATATATCAAATATGAATATATACATATACATACATATAGTGTAACATAACCAAATATACAATAATTAAAACAATTGGAGTCCTCCAACATAAAACAAAGTAGAAATAACACTTGAAATCATTATTATTTTTTTATAATATATTCTTGAATAATGGGAATATTCTATATATATTTTAAAAAATATTCTGCGTATAATTTTAAAAATAAAATTTTAATATTTTATTTATATAAAAATTTATAATTTTATTGATGATATATTCTCAATTTTCATAATAAATTTTTTTTTTTTTTTTTTTTTTTATATTTGCTGAAATCACGTTAAATTCTTATTTATTTTTATAATACTTCATAATTATATATATATATATATATATATATTGAGAATTTATTTTCTCAACACATATGTATCACCGTTGTATCTTACAATTAACTGTGGCTTATGTTTCATAACGTAAGGTTTAGTTTGTTATTAGTTTCCAGTCCTCTCTATCTCTCCTACACAAACACACACACACACACACACACACATGTATATATATTATATAGATAATTTTTTTTGAGTGAGAATATATATATATATATATATATATATATATTCAATCAATACATACGTAGAAGCATGGGTGCAGATAGATGTATGGCAGTGTTATGCATGCCACAATTTCCCATCCAGTTATAAAACAGCTCATCCCAACCCAAACCCCATACTCTCTTGTCTCTTTAATTACAAACTGGTCCTTCTCTTTTACTCTTTTTTCAATTTAGTTCACAAACTTTCAATTTTTTTTTTTTAATTAAATCTTGAATTTTATTTACTTTACAAATAAGTCCTTTACTTAACTCATCAATGGACAAAGTTATCACCACGTGGCAATGACGTAATGGACATTTGATGATGTCGTTTCAGGTGATAATGACGTATCTAAAATTTATTTATTTTAACAAATAAATTAATTAAATTACTTATTAAAAAAAATATAAAACTTCAAGAATTTAATTTTAACAATTAAAATATCAAAATTAAATTAAAAAATGAGGTACAAACTCAATGACCATTTTTTAGTAAGTCTTGAGGTTTTTTAAATTACATTTCTACTTCTACTTTTAATGTTAAAAACACAATTTAAATATATCAGAAATATATGTTTTTGACATATGACTTGGTTTTGTAAGGTGTAAATAATTATATTTCAATAACTATACTTATTACTTTGTGTTTCTCTAATTTATTAGTTTAATATTTTAATATAAAATGTAGTTGTAGTTTATTATTATACTTTCATATTTATTAAAATTATTTTAAAGTTAGAAAACTATATATCAATTTCAAATCAACACTTATATTGAATAAAATAATTAAAATTATTTAAAAATTTTAAGAAAAATATTTAATATTATTTAAAAAATTATATTAATGATATTTTATTGCAACTTACTACTAATTTTACATTAAAAGTACTTTTTACAGTATACATATATATATATATATATTCATGTTTTTTCTTCAAATTAATTACATTAGAAATTAGATTTTATACGTTGTGTTATCAAATAAAAGTGAGCTACATATCAATATTGTTTGATTTTTTATTTTTTATTTATTTTATTTTTTGGTCTTTCATTCAGAGGCATTGTTTCTAGTTAA